ACTCACTGCTACAGCCACTACTGGAGCTTCTGCTGGATGCTTATAGCTAACCACAGACGATCAACTTTCCCACTATTATTAACGACAGTGAACTAACCACAGACAGATAAATTGAGATTTTTTGTTTTAAAATAGTTTGTTTTCTGTGTTTCAGAGTCTGAGTCACAGCTGGATGGTAAGATAAAGTTTCTTTGTGTAATGATTTACTTTTATGTGTAATAAATCTTTTGTTTCATATGAATATTAGTTTGTGAGTGAACTGTAGACTCCCAGGATCACTGTGTCCTCACTCAGCAGTTTGTAATGCTGAGAGTTTACAGCTCTTACAGTAATGCTCACTCTGTGTTTTAATGTCGGTCTTCAGTTTGTGGTCAGGCGTCTCTGAACACCAGGATTGTAGGAGGACAGGTGGCCCGCGTTGGCAGCTGGCCCTGGCAGGTCAGTCTGCAAAGATCTGGGTCCCACTTCTGTGGAGGATCCCTCATTAACAGTCAGTGGGTGCTGACTGCTGCTCACTGCTTTCAAACGTGAGTAATGAGGCTGAAGTTGCACACTAAACAAAATTTAAAGACACTGTGAAGTCAAACTTTATATATGTTTTCTCGTCTATAACAATTGTAACAACTGTGCACTGTTTGTGTCTCTCCTGATGATCTCAGCAGTACTCCAACCGGTCTGACTGTGAATCTGGGCCGTCAGAGTCTACAGGGATCTAATCCCAATGCAGAGTCTCGGACAGTAACACAGATCATCAACCATCCAAACTACAACTCTGTTACCTTCAACAACGACATCTGCCTCCTGCAGCTCTCCTCACCGGTGACTTTCAACAACTACATTTCTCCCGTCTGCCTGGCAGCTTCAGACAGCATCTTCTACAGCGGTGTTAACAGCTGGGTCACCGGCTGGGGCAATATTGGAAGTGGAGGTGGGTCAATGGTTAGAACAGATTAATATTATCTGAGGATGACAGGAAACAAACAGCTTCTCCAAAGTATCCATAAAGGAGGCCTTTGTCTGCTTATTTTATGATTCTGTTGCTGAAGAGAAGCCTAAATGTTTCAGAAACTATGATTTATGAATTTATAGAAAAGACACCAAATTTCTGAGCCAACCTCAAAGGAAATGTTTGTAAAAAAGAAACTGGCCTCATGTAGTTTCGTTTTTGATGATAAACCTGTGCGCGTGGAGGGGAAACAGACTTTATAAACACTAAAAGAAACATGGACTGAAATATTTGGGAAATGTCTGCAGCATCAAAGATAGAGATACTAACAGAACGTCAAAAACACTTTAAAAAACTTGCTTTTGCTTTTTTTTTTTTACTTTTAATCATATTTGTCTGGTGGTTCAATATATACAGCTTTCTGTCATGTGACCACTGAAAGTGGGAAATCCTTTGAGGTAAAACTTAGTCACCACCAGAATAAATGCCTGGAAGTGGAACGATGCTTTGTTTACTGTTCTGGTTTGTACCTTTAATCTGTCACACGCTGTTTATTAAACAGATTTTGTTTTTTACCCTTTCAGTGCCTCTTCCTTCTCCACAAAACCTGATGGAGGTGCAGGTTCCTGTTGTGGGAAACAGGCAGTGTAAATGTGACTATGGAGTGGGATCAATCACTGACAACATGATCTGTGCCGGGTTAAGTGCAGGAGGAAAGGACTCCTGTCAGGTGATTGTTGTTACCTGTGTTTGGCACATTTTCACCTTCGACAGTTTCTTCTCCTCAGCTAACAGTAAATGTTTCTGCTCTCAAAGGGAGATTCAGGAGGTCCAATGGTGATCAAGCAGAGCGGTCGCTGGATTCAGGCGGGAGTCGTCAGTTTTGGGGACGGTTGTGCCAGGCCGAATTTTCCAGGAGTCTACGCCAGAGTATCCCAGTACCAGACCTGGATCAACAGCCAGATCTCCTCCAACCAGCCGGGCTTCATGACGTTCACGTCCACTGGGACCAACAGTGACCTCAGTGTCTCCTGCACAGGACTGCCACCAGTGCCAACCACCACTACCCCTACTACCACAACCCCTCCAACCACCACCAACACCACCACCCCTACTACCACCAATCATCCAACAACCACAAACCCCCCAGCAACCCCCACCACACCTACAAACACAATACTTCCAACAACCACCAATCATCCAGCAACCCCCACCACACCTACGAACACAATACTTCCAACAACCACCAATCATCCAGCAACCCCCACCACACCTACAAACACAATACTTCCAACAACCACGCTGCATCCGACCACTGCCCAACGTGAGGACCCATCATGACAATACTTTATTAAAGAAAACATTCTAACATTGAGTCTATTATACACTACACGAACTTGAACTGATGGGTTCATGTGGTTAAAGTTTTTAAGATTTCTTTGTGTTTGCCTCTGGTTTTGTCCTCAGCTGTAGTCTGTGGACAAGCTCCGAGGAATTCATACATTTTCGGGGGAACCTTGCTTGCGTCAGTGGGCTCGTGGCCGTGGATGGCGAGCCTGCAGAAAAATGGAAATCACGTGTGCGGTGGGACTCTGGTAGCCTTGGACTCTGTGCTGAGTGACGCCAGCTGTTTCTCAAGGTGAGTTGGAGCTGTAGTTTGGCCGGATGATCATACAGTTCATCTGCTTCGGACTAGGAAATATTCAGTAAATCCGAAGGCTGTTTAGATTTTTCAGTCATGATGGCACTCTGGCCCTAATAGGCCACATTTTTTTCTGTGGTGTACTTCATTTCCTGTTAATTTAATTCTTTAAACTGCATAGATGGTTTAGGTTGGAGGTATCATAGTGTACATTTATAAAAGACGACCCCAGTACCTTGGTGAGGCGTGTAATAGGACACACATTAAGAAGTTGCACTAATAATAACCCGTACTTGGCCTGCCTGGGGTTGAAAGTCTCCATAAATGCACCTTTTTTCGGCGGGTATGGTTTATGTGAGTATAACGCCTATTTTGAGTGATAAAAAAAATAATAACATATAATTTTATTTTTATATTTCAAGATCACAATAATCTTCCAATTTAGAACTAGAAGTTAAAAAGAACTAACACAAATAAAATACACTTCAGTTAAATACTTTTAATTTTTTTCCAAACGTGCAGCCACAGTACTAGGACTAAAAAGCCGCATGCAGTTGCTGACCCCTGACCTAGAAACTGTAAGACATGGCGTAAATCTTTTCCAGACTGAACACGTCCCCATTCTTACAACTGATTCAGCGTGTTGTGGTCCATTTCATGGCAGCATTTTCTGGAGACTTATTTCTCAATCAAACTCAAAGAGAGAAACTTTATAGCTAACCGGTGTTTTGCCAGTGGTTACGGTGGATCGGCAAACCACACTGTAACCCCTCCCAGCCTTGTTCCTGATGTCACGCCTGTGGTCATGGATGCTGCTCTGCATGGAGTTTGTCTAGTTAAATATATACCTCTTTAATTAGAATCAGGCCTGAATGTCACCAGGTTCAAGTGTGTAAAACTTGGGTCACATGAAGTTGAGTGTAAAGGTGTAGATTTTGTTTGAAGCTGATGAAGATTATGTTTGTGTCCTTTGTTCCTCCCACAGCTCCCCTGTAGCGTCCGAGTGGACTGTCGTGTTGGGTCGTCTGAAGCTAAATGGATCCAACCCCTTTGAGGTGACGCTGAATGTGACAAATATCACTCTGAGCAACACGACCGGGACCAACATAGCCATCCTCCGTCTATCTGCCCAGCCCACCCTGACCGACTACATCCAGCCCATCTGCTTGGACAACGGGAGAACCTTCGCCGAGGGCTTGGCGTGCTGGGCGGCCGGTTGGAGTCCTGGAAGAGGAGGAGGTGAGTCAGCAACATGAAGGCTGACAGAGTTCTGCCCAGACTCTGCACCAGTCCATCTCTCAGATTACACATGTGGACCACTGCACTTACAGTTTCTTTAGTCAAACATCAGGATTTTCTTATCTTTTATGATGTTAGCTGAGGAAGTTATGCAGCAGTTTCAGACCTCGGTGGTAAACTGTGGGAACTCATCATCGAGTGAGAGCATCTGTACAGGCGTGTTTGCACTGCAGCAGGTAAATGACTGGATTCTTCTTCTTATAACACTGTCTGCTGACATGTTGTTTATTCTGGATCTTGGATTTAGCTGCTTATCACAGTCACAAGATGAATTTGGATAGTTCATCATTTTAAGTTTCCAGAGTGCTTACACTCTTCAGAAACATGTAAGAAGTTCCAGCTTTGAAATTTCAGTTTTCATTTTTGGCCAGTTAGATTTCATTTAAGAGTGTCTCTGTATCTTTGTTTTAAACCTTTAAAAGAACATTATTAGAGGGAAAAACATGGCAACCAAATAATATTAGATGTGATTTTCTGATTTTAAATTGAATTCCCGTCTCTCTGTTCAGGGTGATTCTGGCGGCCCGCTGATGTGTAAGCAGGGCAGCTCTTGGTTCCAGGCGGTCGTGTTAACAGCTCCAAGCCCCCCTGCCAGGAGAAGACGAAGCTCAGTTATGACCTTCACCAGAGTGAGCTCCTTTGACTCCTTCCTGACGGAGACGCTGGGGACACTCTTGTCTCCAGCCTCCAACACCACCATCACTAACCCAACCAATGTCTCCCTCACCACCACTGCCAGCAGTACCTTCATCAACACCACGGCCACCACAACTTGCTCGAATAGTTTGTTTGACAGCAGCGAGGGTCGTCCTGCTCACTCCTTCATCTTTGTCTTCATCCATCTCCTCAGCCTCGCCTTTTGTCTCCAGCTCTGCCTTTAGAGAACCCAAACTTGATTCACATGATGTGATGGACACAGATGAATGTGAACAACTGAGAAAGTCAACAACTTGACTTTGAGACTTTACAGGCTTAAAGCTTTGTCTGCTTTGAGTTTATTCTTAACTGGTTATCTAAGAGTTCAGTGGTGAAGCTGTGGAGGATCAAATTGGACGTGCACTTCTACTTGATGAATTATCATCACAAACATCTGAACCACCTGATGGAGAGACCGACTACAAATCCCAGAGTGCACTGGAGTGTCAACATCCAATCAAAGAGCCGATGGTGATATTTTTCTTTTTTGTTCTATTGATTACAATGAAAATATTTTTTTCAAGTATGCAAATGTTTTGTGTGCACTATGACCCATTCATGGTGATGAATACAGGCTTACACGGTGCAGTCTGGACTCAGATGGCACCGGTGTGCTTAGCTTGCCGTCCTTGTCGTTTTTTACCCTCCCTTTTCCCTTTACCTTCACTTATGGACTTTGGCACTGTTTTTTATTTTTATTCTTCTAGTTGTATGTTCATCTAGTGGTTGTGCACTGATTACATATGACAGGCAAACACTTTTAAATCTAAGTTCTTTCCATTCATTTTGGGCCGACCCCTGCTGGAGTGTGGGCAGCGCTAATCTACCACAACTGGATTTGTCCTTCAGCTTCTCCTACCTACCGCTCCTTAATCTCCACAAGAAACGCTACAGGAAGTGGGGAAGAAGAAGTGGCTGTCAAGTCCGTCTCAGAGCCAGAATTACGGACCATGTACATGCTAACATGGGCACTCCATCATGGATGTTCAAGGCTTGGGAAATCTTTTTGTAGCCTAAGCCTGCTTTAAATTTCTCAATAACTTTATCCCTGACCTGTCTGGTGTGTTCTTTGGACTTCATGGTGTTGTTGCTCCCAATATTGTCTTAGACAACCTCTGAGGCCGTCACAGAGCAGCTGTATTTGTACTGACATTAGATTACACACAGGTGCACTCTATTTAGTCATTAGCACTCATCAGGCAACGTCTATGGGCAACTGACTGCACTCAGATGAAAGGGGGCTGAATAATTATGCACACCCCACTTTGCAGTTATTTATTTGTACAAAATGTTTGGAATCATGTATGATTTTCGTTCCCCTTCTCACGTGTTCACCACCCTGTGTTGGTCTTTCACGTGGAAGTCCAATAAAATTTATTCATGTTTGTGGCTGTAATGTGACAAAATGTGGGAAAGTTCACGGGGGCCGAATACTTTTGCAAGCCACTGTATGTTCTTGGCAGCGGTCTTCAAATGTGGTTTTGCGACGCTGAGACCCCGCTTTACGAAAGGAGTGAGCAATCGGAAGAATTTTGAAAAAATAGATGCTAACCCGCACCCAGAAATAAGCGGAGCACCTGAAAACCCGGGCATGCCATTACCAGCCTGAAATTCGTAATATTTTATGAATCTATTATTATCCATTTTGTTTATGAATTACGACAGATCCTCGATAGGCCGGAAATGTAGCTTAACTATTGTTTTATTGTAGGTAAAGTTCACAGTTTCGTTCTGATCTGTTTTGATTTCAATATGAATATTTTCGATATGGTTCCGACACTGGTATGTAATCTGGTTTGTTAAAACTCAGTGTAACGACATCAAGTACCCTGTATTTTGACAGCACGCAGCAGAAGCAAATAGATGTCACCAACAAGCTATGGCGTCACAATGTCAGAATAACAAAAGAAATGGTAACAGCCAGCCGTTATATCCGCGGGATACAGGGCAAACTTGCGCTCGAATCTTAACCAGACCCCTAGTGTGACACCAAGCATATATGCAAGGGGGAGGGATAAACTCTGAGATGATATATTCCACCAGATGTGAATTCAGACTTTTTCTGAATTGGGTTATATTTGAGAAAAATATCAAATTCAATACGTCGAAGGCAGGCATCATCAATCTGTGATCTCAACATGTTAGGATCCTCATAAAAACCATAAAAAAATATTTTTTGCTTATCAACATCAGCGGGCTTCTGCTCTGCATCACTCTTTTTCCTCCATTCAAAGTATGCCATATCATTTGGAAGATTGAACCATGTATAGGGATAGGAAATTTTAGTGACAGCCACCTCCCAGGCCCCATCGAGATGGAGATACTGGGCGAGATCCTCACGGAAACTGCTACTCGTGTTATTTTTAAATACATTTAGGCTAGCGTTTGAAGGTAGTGTTACGTAAAAGCCTTGAGACCTGAGAGTCATGTCACCAGCATGAAATGAGGTGGAAGTTTTTTATTTTAGGTTTTTAAGGTCACTGGCTTTAATCCAGCTATTAAACTTTTCAGGCCAGTTTCCCCATTTGACAGGAAATACATTTGCCCCCTCTGTTTACGTTTGGTCAGAATGTTCTCTATATGATACAGCTTACCCACAACCACATTGATTTTTCTGTGGCTCATGCTCGTAAAAACTACCGATAATTAGTTCCCCATCGTAATCTTTGATTTTATAAACTGGAGGATCCCTAGGTATGCATTGGTCTATAGTGAATATTACATCCGTGAAAGTCTGTTCATAGCATTTATCAAACACACCTCTAACTTGAGACAATCTCACGTGATCTCCCTTTTTAAATTTCATGAGCTTATTTCTGGAACAAATAGAAAAAGTGCCATACATTCGATACATTCGGCGCCAGCTGCGGTCTCAAGGCTGGAGCCGAACAACAACACCCTGATAACGACTGTTTAGTCTGTTCCTTCCCATTCCATGCAAGGCCACCTGGGTTGGCTGGAAGACTGTTTACTTAGCCTGGCAGGGCGAAG